ACGATACGCGTGACTTGAATTATGGTTCTCAGGTTTATTCGCAAATGTGAGTCATGGCACCGTAGTATTTTACTTTATATTAGAACGAGCACGGGAGGTGCAATGCGCACGCACAAGGAAACAAATGACGGGAGGGGGAAGAAAGGAGAAGGAGTTTATGTATTTGCAGCGCGAAATTAAACGGGTGAGGTCACACCAGCACAAATGCACCGGATCCCATCAGAACTCCGCAGTTAAGTGTGCTTTGGCGAAAGTAGTACAATGATGGGTTACCTCCTGGGAAGTTCTCGTGTTCTACCATTTTTCTTTTTTTCAGATGTGCCGCTCGACGTTACGTGCGACTTTAATTATGGTCCGCAGATTTATTCGCAAATGTGAGCCACGGCGCCGTGGCATTTTACTTGATATTTGAACGAGAACGAGAGGTGCAGTGCGCACGCACAAGGAAACAAATGACGGGAGGGGGAAGAAAGGAGAAAGAGTGTATGTATTTGCAGCGCGAAATGAAACAGGTGCGATCATACCAGCACTAATGCAACGGATTCGATCAGAACTCCGTAGGTAAGGGTGCTTGGGCGAGAGTAGTACTAGCATGGGTTACGTCCTGTGAAGTCCTTATATTTCACCCATTTTCTTGTGAAGTTCTCGTGTTGCACCTATTTTTTTGCATATGATTCTTTCGACGTTACGCGCGACTTGAATTATGGTCCTCAGGTCTATTCGCAAATGTGAGTCACGGCGCTGTGGCATTTTACTTGATATTAGAACGAGAACGGGAGGTGCAGTGCGCACGCACAAGGAAACAAATGACGGGAGGGGGAAGATAGGGGAATGAGTTTATGTATTTGCAGCGCGAAATTAAACAGGTGCGATCAAACCAGCACAAATGCACCGGATCCCATCAGAACTCCGCAGTTAAGTGTGCTTTAGCAAAAGTAGTACAATGATGGGTTACCTCGTGGGAAGTTCTCGTGTTGCACCCATTTTTTTTTTTAGATGTGCCGTTCGACGTTACGCGCGACTTTAATTATGGTCCGCAGATTTATTCGCAAATGTGAGTCACGGCGCCGTGGCATTTTACCTGATATTTGAACGAGAACGCGAGGCCCCCCCCTCAAGTGCAAAAGAAGGGCTCTTTGGGGTCAAATTAGCTTTCTATCTGACAGGACAAACAAATAGGAAGGGATGGTTCTTTCATTGCATTGATAGAAGTCAAAAAGATCTCTCTATTCCTTTGAGAAGAGAATCGTTGGTTTGACCGACGAACTACGTGGGAAAATTGACCTTCTTTCTTCGATTGGAATACGGATGAGATCAAAAAGGCCATCATTTATATCAAAGATAGCGGAGGAATCCTTGGCCGGGAGCAGCGCAGGACTGGAGCACTCAAGCGGATAAGGCTACTTTAGGCGCTTTCGGCGAGATCCTCAAGAATGTACCGGATCACATTGCGAATACTCATCTGTCCCTTGCCGTCGTGCCGTGCTGAAGAACATGCACGTGATAAGAGACGCTTGAGATTCGCCAGGTCCTTGCGTGTAGCAGAAGGAGAGTAGGCCTTTTTTTATATCGGAACTACTTTCTCAATGATTAGAAAAAGAAATTCCATAGCAGTTGGAAGTTTTCCGGATAGACGGAAAGGATTTGGCCTTCTCGTCTATCAGAGGAGCGATAAGTGTGGCCAACTCCTCTTTTTGAGCGTGAACCTCACTTTTCGACCTTTGGATTAAAAAGTCTTCAATGACCCGAGGGTCCGATTCATTGGATAGATCGAGCGGTTCACTGTCGGGACTCTGAGGGACATCGAAGACTTCGTTCAGTTCTAGGGGAGGGCTATCCGGTATATCGAATCTTTTTTCCGGACCGGATGGGCTGGGGGCCAACTAAATGATCATCCCCATTTCGGTCGAAGAGGCACTTTTTTCGCCCGGCACGCTTAGTGGCGCTTGGTTTTCGCCCGAGCTTGATGCGGAGTAAGCTCCTGACGGAGCCATCATTGTCTTCCCCCAGGTCTCGCTATCAAAAAGATTAGATCAAATTATAGCAACTAGGAGACCCCCCCCCCCACACACACCATCCGAGCCTATTTAATAGGAAGTAGAGAGACTTTCTGAGGATCATGGATTGGAGTTTGGCAAGAAGGAGATGAAAAGAATCTCCGATTAGTAGACAAATAAAAGAAGGTCAAATATAAAGAAAAAGATCAAAAGAAAGAGGAATGGAATATACCATCGTTTTACTATTCTATGATTTCAAGTAAATAATGGGTAAAGCATCTTGTTTTTTTGTTTTCTTTCTACTTGCTTATGGGGACATTGATCCGAAGCCATCATACTACGGTTCGTGCGCTCTTTTTCTTCTCTACCATGATGAAGAAATTTCTTGTTTGCCTAAATTTTCCTTTCCTTTGTCATTCTTTATCAGAGTTTCCTTGGCCGTGTGGAACATGGATTAGCATTATGTCATTCCTACAAGTGATCCCCCATTCAGGATTGGAAGAAGTGCTATATGAGGACTTCGAGATCAAATAGAATATGTTTCTTTCCATTTCTCGTGAGCCACTTATTTCTCCGAAACAAGAGATCAAAGTGATTTTCCTCCTTTTTTCCAATAAGTCGACGGCGTTACACCATTGGGATACTTCGAATAAACTAGAGTACATATAGGATACACCGGTGCTAAAACCTTTTCTCAAGATATCTTCCAAACTGTTGGGGTCGTTGCTCCGGATGTTGTTCCCCCGGTGTGAAAGCAGTTGGTTCCGTAGTTTGAGAATTCTGCTGATCCCAAGTACTCCATCTCCATCATTGCATATGGGAATATAGAAAGTAAAGAGGAAAAGGCATGACCAGAAGAATTGTGAAAAATAAGTGAATTTATCCA